TGCACCCACACACACGCACACTCTTATCTAATTTTTAATATTTCTAGAAATTCATTTTTTATGGATTAATGTTTATATTAGTTATAAGCAGAAGCCCTTGGAGAATTTAAATCATCATTTCTTTTTCTTTTTTTTTTAACCAGACCCAAGTTATTGAAAATCTGCTCTGAATCATAAATTAAAAAATGCAATAAATTAGAAAATAATGCAATAAATTAGAAAAGCTGTTAATGAAAATATCTTTATGAATAAGATATATTATGGACACTATTGTCTTAAGAATTTTCTTTTTCAATGAATAATGAATTTTTACAAGAATTGCTTACATCTTTTTTCAATTTTAATTAGAATAATTTATAAAGTTTTAAATCTTTAAAATTATGTATTAATTTGTAGTGGTTAGATGATATTGTTATTAAGCAAAAACTATATTTACTAATCATAAATGGAAAAACTTACTACAATTAAGCGACCCCTAGTATTTTAAAAATAATTTTGTGTGTGTATAAACATGCCTATTTTTGTAAATACGGATGTCCATACATGACATTATCGGAAAATAAGAGTGTGAACTATAGTAAATTCAAAACCAAAGTACCTAAAATTCAATAAAACATTAGCTTACAGAGAATATTTTCCTAAATTTTTAAGATATATGGGTAGTTGAAAAAATTATATAAAAAGTAGAAAAAATTTCCAACCATAAGTCTATAGTTGCCAATACCTCATAAAAACACCTACCTTAATGTTAAAAATGCTTTTCTGCACTATTTTAAACTAAAAATAATATTGCTTTCAAATCAGATTAATTAAACTTCAAATCAGCTAATCTTCCTCAATGTTTCAGAAAAGTATATTTTCTCTTTAAATATTTTTAATAAAGAGAAGTACGTTGTGCTGAGAGAACTTTAAATATGACCACTTTTAGCAATTTGAAAAAACTTATTCAAATCAATTTAATTTCGTTTTTGAAATACAACAAAGTATTTTGCTTATTAGAAACATTAAACTGAATTTATTAGCTTGAAATTAAAACTAAAATAAAAGCTTCAAGAAAGATTTTTCATTTTAAAAAATCATTTTAAACCTTCACTTTTCTTTGGAGGTACCTATAAGACATGAGTCTAGATACATGCATATACACGTATGTATGCAAATATATAAATATGTGTAATGTATATAAATATGCATGTAAGCACCGTGTAGCAGCTACACAAATGTCCTTGGTAAAAGCATAAATTCATCTCTTTACTGCCTTATTCGCTGCAGCACAGGTTGGAATCTCTAGTCCTGGTTAGCAGCCGGTGTAAGAGAAAGACAACACTGAATTAAAAAAAGGTTATTGCTAATATCACCATCCCATAAAACTTTATTTTTTTAAATGACATACCACTTCAAAATATAGACGATCATGGCTCTCAACGGATTACACTTCTTCACTATCTATGAATTGGTATGATTTCTTGGGGAAAGATAGTGCAATGGTTTCCCATTGCCTTCTAAACGGCAACATTCACTTTTGTAAACAAACGTCAAAAACAACGGGAGATTATCGATCTTCTGTCGATTTTTCCGATTCAAAAAAATTGAAGATTTTTAACGAAAATTTTGGACGTGCTAGAAATTATTAAAAAATTTAAAAAAATATTCAAAAAATACTTTGATCATTCCTCTTGATAATAACATTAACATTTATACGATAAAAAATTATTTTAATCAAATTTAAGGCCTTTTTTATTCATGGTATGCTATTTTTTTATCGATCTCATGCACATCCCTACTTCTATTTAATGTTTTTCCTATGCCCTATGCAGATACAAACACAGATGCGAAGATTTAGCTACTGATCATTCCATATCACATCCCAAATGAATCTACTAACAAAAACCATTAAAGACAACAGGCAAGGTACTACGAGTAAGCTTTTTATTTAATTTTTCTTTTGTTCCAACAAATGTTTCCTTTTTTGGACACAGAGTGTGCAGAAACTGTCCAAATCTTCTATAATTCCAAGCGCTTTAGGCTATACTTTTAGCCATTATCAAGGATGATTTTATTTTTGCTTTTTAATTGGATGTATGGGTTGTGTATATGTTTTTAGAGTTATAGGGATGTTTTATTTTCTGAACACAGTCAGCACATTATGGCCGTGTTCGTAGTTAATATTATTTTTGGCTTTTTCTTTTTTTATCATTAAGGCTTCCATTATTTTTAATCTTTTTTTTACATGTGTAGGAGGTTATTATGTTTGTATTTTCTAGTAGCATATTTCAGATGGGGTCTAGTAAGTTTGTGTGTGTGTTTTTAAATGGATACTAATAGAAATGTGGTCAGATAGGTGTAACGTAAAGCTTCTGGGTAGGCATGTAGTATTGTGACCGATGTAATAATTTATGAATTCAGTTTGATCAGGAACACAGTTTCTTAAGGGGCATTTGAATTCATAGAAAATGTTTGTTCATTGTAATTTTGATTTTGTTGGTGTGTTGTCATTTTTGAGGATAAGCAAATGTAAAAAATATATTAAATTTTAAAAAAAATTAAAAATAATGGAAGCCTTAATAATAAAAAAGAAAAAAAACAACACTTAATAATATTAACTACGAACACGGCCATAATGGGCTGCATTCAGAAAATAAAACATCCCTATAACTCTAGAAACATACACACAACCCATACACAATTAAAAAGTAAAAATAAAATCATGCTTAATAATGGCTAAAAGTATAGCCGAAAGCGCTCTGAATTACAGAACATTTGAACTGTTTCTACACACTTTGAGTCCAGAAAAGAAAACATTTGTTCAAACACAAGAAAAATTAAGTAAAAAGCTTAATCGTAGTACTTTGTCTGTCGTCTTTAATGAAACATGTATAAATGAAGGATTGCTGCCTAAATACAAAATTAACAATGACCAGTATAGAACACCTAGACAAGGTAGCAAAGGAAAGTGGGAAGGAATGACTAGCCGTCAGTAGTAAGAAGATAGTGAATGCTGGATAATTTTTTCACAGATCAAGAAGGGACTTGAGGCAACAGAGATGCAGTTCTACAGAAGGATGCTGAGAATCCCAAGTGAGCAACAAGGAAGTTTCAAGTAAAATGGAAACAGCACAGGCATTTGTAATTAGAGTTAGAAAGAGACAGTTTCTGTGATACATAATGAGGAAAGTAGGCTTGGGGGATTTGACACTCACAGGACATAATGAAGGCAAGAGGGACAAAGGAAAACATTAATCTACATAAAAAAAAGCCTGTGTAAATGGGTGGTATAATAGAGAGTAGGAAGTATAGTAAAAAAAAAAAAAAAAAACATTGCTAAGAGCTATAAACGATAGAAAGTTGTGGAGAGGCATGATTGCACATCTCCTGAAGGGACATGGTGTATAAAAGAAAGAGCATAGTATTTTGAAAAAGGTATTTTTCCCAGAATTATGTTTTTTTAAATTGTAAGAGTAGAAATTGTATTTGACCTTCTACTGGGATCAAGCCACTTGCATACGGATAGAAAATGAATTCAGTAAATATACTAATATAGAAAGGAACATAAAACAAGGATGTATCTTCTCACCAGACTTATTCAGCTTTTACTGTGAGGCAATTTTGAGATAATTAAAATTCCTACCAGGATTCATTATTGGTGGCCACAATCTTAACAACATTAGATATGCAGATGACACAGTGTTGATAGCAAGCATCAAAAGAAAGTAGAAAAAAAGTGAGAAGAAAAAACTAACTATCAATTTTAAGAAATAAGAATAAATGGTTGTCAGCAAAAGGAACAGCCCAACATGTGAATTACAATTTGGAGACATCAAAATCATGCAAAAATTTATATATATATATATCTAGGAAGTGTTTTAACAAAGGACAGAAAACACTAAAATCTGAAGGCACATCAGTTTAGCTAAAGATGCCTACCAAAAGCTAAGCAAAGTATTTTAAAATAGGAAGATGTTGTTAGAAACAAAGAAAAGTGTAATGAAGTGTTTTGTGATATGTCAGTGGAAGTTGGATAATTTCATCACAGATGAAGAAGAGACTTGAGGCAAAAGAAATGTGGTTCTACAGAATGATACTAAGAATACCATGGACTGAACATGTGAGAAATGACAAATTAATAGAAAATGGAAACAAAAAGAACTCTTATACTTAGAATCAGAAAGAAAGAATTGAAATTTCTAGGACACATAATGAGGAAAGAGGGCTTAGAAAATTTGAAACTCACAGGACATTGAAATCAAGAGAGACAGAGATAAACAGTGCATAATCTCTCTAATAGGCTTGTGTAAATGGTTGGCAAAACACTGATTAGAAGAGATAGCAAAAAGATAAATTTTACTAAGAGCTACAATGGACAGGAAATAATGGAGAATCATGGTCTTTGAGAATTGAGTTCATTTAATTGTATTAATTTTAGATATTTTAAAACCTGAGCAATGCCAGGTACTACTGCAAGTCTTGCACGAAAATGCAAATTAGACCTGATATACTATTGAGAGAAATTGTTATTCCATCTGATTGGCTGATAGAAAAACCAAATAAAATAGGAAGAAGCCTGTACGAAGAAAACAGAGTAAATTGTTTGGCAAAAGGAAGAAAAAATATTTCTTAAAATATGCTTAAATTCCTCTACGGATATACATCACATACCCAGCAGGGGAAAAGAGATTGGGACTGAATAAAAGATGTGTTGAATGAAAGAAATGAAAAGAGTGAAAAAATTATTGTTAGAATTGCATAAAACTAAAAAAATATATATTTTCTAACAGTATTTCTTATTGTGTCACCAATGCACCCAGGAGAATATATATAAGGTAAATATGCAAACATAAATGTATCAGTTTTTACTAAGGATACATATGGCTATGCATGTATATCTTTAGATGTATTCTTGAAAATGTATACATATTTTCAGAAAGAACTGAATAGATTAAACAGTGTATATTTTGACACATTATTGTTTCATTTTACATTAAATGTTTCCTTCTGAGATTTTCTCAATAGTTTAATGATAGATAGATAGATAGATAGATAGATAGATAGATAGATAGATAGATAGATAGACAGATATGACTAGACTGACAGATATGAAGAGATTGAGATATTTATGAATAGACATAGATATATAGATTTTACAAGACAGAGAGATAAATCAATATGATTAGACATAGATAGATATAAGTAGAGATAGAGAGTAATCTTGAGAGCAATTAGTTTTTTAGTATATTTTGTTTAAAATAATATTATTCATATTACTTATTTTTTGTTTCTTATTATTTTTAAATTTTCATTTTTCTTTTAAATATGCAATGTTAAATCACATTTTCCAAGACATTATACTTTTCCCGATCATTCCAATAATAAAAAGAAGCCTGTTGTTGGCAGAAAAATAACAGCAACATTCATAGAACAGGAATTGGAAAATATGGATTAACACAAAAAGAAATATGAGTAAAAGTTTAAAAACTGTTCAAACATAGAAAATGATTAGAATGCATTTTAAAGAATAAAATGATTTAAGCAGTAGAAACATTTATCTGTTACAAACAAGTCAATAGCTGCAAAGAATAAACAATGAATTTGCAAACTATATATATATAAATAAATATATATATATATATATATATATATATATAGTTTGCAAATTCATATATATATATATATATATAAAATAATAGCTGACCACTTGTATTCGAGGATACTTGTATACTAGGGTGGCTAGCCAATACCTACTGAAGATGCTCACTCAGGCACACTTGTGTTTGTTCAACACCACAGAGCCAACCTGTGGTTTATACTGCAACTATGCTGAGCAGACATTAGTTACAGTTTCTGGGAGAGAGCATGTTATCTAGCATGATCAACAATCTGAACAAGGTCAACACACTCAAACCCTCAGCCACAATGACTTGTGACTTCATGCTATCACAGTTATTGATGGCCTCCAAGTGTTCTGTCTCCCCAATTTCACTTACAAGGCTTGGGCCAACTTGTGGCATGGTTTTCAGGCACTTTCCAAAGGTGCTTCACACTGGCATCATCCCCCTTCAGACCTATAATATCAGGAAGTCTGCTTCCTGACAAATCAACCATGGTGAGGTTCAAACCCAGGTCTCATGGTCAGAAAGCCAATGTTCTAACCACTTGGCCATATATATATATATATATTATTGTGTCTCTTACACTCTTCTATATAAACCAGATGTTGACTGCTTGAATATGATGCTGTTGTATGATAATTTTTTATTGCTAAGTGCTTATTTTTTCATCAAAATAAAGGCAAATAATCTGTAGTTACTGAAATTTTACCTCATACTTTAAAAGAATATAAAATATCTCATTTAAGAACTAGCATATACTGCCTGATGAGACCTCAATATGAGAAACCATGGTATATGGTTTCTAAGTGATTAATCTTTCTGTTTTTTAATATTTAAATGTTCTGCATGCTCAATTTTTTGGATTGTGCATAGAGCACTTTTTAATATAACCATTCCCTGGTTGAACACAACTCTGATCAACAACCGTTTAAATATAATATTTGCTTCTGTTCTATGGTTGAATACTTTTACTTTCAATGTATTTTTACAATGCATTTTTAGTAATTTTAGTAACCAGTGTATTTTAACACATATATTTGTGCATATTGCCACACTGGTATGTTAGTGCTTTTCACACACACAGCAGTAATTAAAGAGTTGGCAAAGGAGCCACGATGCAAGTGTTTAAAATACAATATTCACTAAAAAACATCCTTATTCACAACAAGCATGAACATATGATTAATTTATTGCATAAAATTGAAAAATTCCTTGGCAGAATGAGATGGAAAGAATTGTTTTCATTACATAAATGCGTAAAGTGCAAGGAAAACATGGCAAAATTTAAATTTAAAACCAAGATATACCCTCCTGTCATTCAAGAGCTAGCCAACTTTGAGAAGGATATGCTTAAAGTAATAAACAAAATTATATTTGGAAAGATTAAGAGCAACTTCAAAAAACAATTATCTACCGAAGTAATAAAAATAAAAATACACCAAAGATTCTAGTTAAATGTGACAAAGCTGGAAAAATATATGAAATGGGCCCAAAGGCTTACAAGAGAAAAATGAAAAAAAGAAGTCACAAAGTTTTATAAAAAGGCTCCATCTTTATACATTGAAAGCATCAATGAGGAGGGGGAAAAAATACCACATCCAAATTGGGTATCAATGATAGGGTCCAGATACTATACAGTAAGTAAGCATTTCTAGACATAAGGATGACTTCCCCAATGAGCCTGCATTTTGTCTAATCAGTCCAACTAAGACTGAATTAGATAAAATAAGCCAAGGAATCTTACAAAAAGTGTGTAACTTTATTAAGAATTTCTGTGCAGGCCAATCAATGATAGATAACAAATGAGGGTATTTTTTGGTTCCATGGAATTAAAAATAAAAAAAAATTGGTTAAAAATCATGTTTATCAAAACCATTTATTGTAGTAGAAAAAACAATATTCTGTTTTTCTTTAACCTTCACTTGACCACACCATCAATACTTGGCCAAGGACCTTATCCATCCATATCTGAGAAAGGATTATTTAAGGCTCTGAAGTTTGCTAAAGGCTTTGTTGATATACAACCTGAACAAGTAGAGATAATCTTGCATTAATGGGCCTGTATATTTTAAATAAGATCAACAAAATATTCCACATAGGCAACCACGGCATGTATAGAGACAATGAACTGATGATGGTGCAGGACAACAGAAGAGTAAACAACAGAATTAGAAAACTGCTCTTTAAACTCTTCAAGAGCCTCGTTTGAAATTGAGGTCAATATGAACAAGAAAGTCATCCAATATTTGGATGTGGAATTAAATCTACAAACCAGAAGCATCTTATCTTACATAAAACCCAACATAAAATTGTGGTATATGAACACTGGATCCAACCACCCTGGAATTGTAATCAAGCATATCCCTAAAGGAATAGAGTGCAGGTTAACCACAAATGCTTCTTGTAGAGTCAGATTGAAAATAAATCAAAACTTAGCAGATATGGACTTTTGAGAAAGATAATCGGAACAAGGAAATGTAATTTGGACTGTGAAGTTTTTCATAGCCATACAGTAAAGCATGCCAGATCAAACAGTATTTTCTCCTACAAAGTGGGGATGCCAAGAGATTGAAAGTGCTATTAAAGAAAATGTGCCTACTGACAGAAATCAAACCTGTATTCCATTTTTAATTTAGGAAATCACTGTCAAGTCAGAAATGGTAACTAAAACAATGCAAATTAAAGAAAGAAGATACAATAAAATGGTTTCAGTAAGGTTGAACCTAGTTAAAAGGGTAAGCTTTGAATGTTCTTAATAGTTTTTGTGATTTGATTTGAGTTGTCAAAGTTCATGACAGAAACCTTTCATGCCTTCATGAGTTCAGAATCTTCAGTGTAGTGTGTTTTTTTTTTTGAGAACAATACTTGTTCTCTGCCATGGAAACAAACATTTTATTACAATAGCCAGAGTGAAAATGAGACTTAATTCTGTTGTGAAAATGACAATTTGGTTGCCAAGACTTAGTTGAGGAGTGAGTTTTCATGACCATTCTCAGTCAAGTTTTCAGATGTTTTTAGAAGGCATTGTGTCTTTCCCCTCCTCTGGTGGTTGCATCTACTGCTCCTCAGTGTCACATCTCATTTTTATAGGCAAAGGTTGGCTCTGATTTACCCAAAAAATATTGGCAGTCAACACAAGGATTTCAGATTTCAGCCAGCTCAAGTAGCCATTGGTTAAAAAATCATGTTTATCAAAACAATTTATTGTAGTAGAAAAAAATAATATTCTGTTTTTCTTTCACCTTCACTTGACCCCACCATCAATACTTGGCCAAGGACCTTTGTACACAGAGTGGCAAGGTTCAGATTTCAGTAAATTACTTTATTACCTTCAATACTTCCTCCAAACTACTGAGAGCTGAAATTTACTCAGAGAGAAAAAAAATAATTTTTAACAATCAATAGACACTTCCTCTTCTTGTCCATTAGAAATTGCCTTCCCAAGTTCCAAATCCACTGAATGCATCAATCTAATAGAAGAACTGTATTGATCAATAGAATCTTTCATATCTGGTGAAGACCACAGTCGAGAAATCTCATCAGGAGTTCAACAAGGAGGAAATGTGAGCCCCAGTCTATTTAATCTTTTCCTAGACTATGCCTTGTGAATTTACAAACACACATGGGATAAGATGGATACTGACCATTTAAGCATTCTCATGGAAATGTGCTGAAATAGCTTGTGTTCATCCAGGATGGATGTGCTGTCTACTGACCAGCTGCTTGCCTGAGCCAGGGCAAAAGATTGTCTGAGCCAAGAAAATGAGAGGGTACAAGGGTAACACAGTAACATGCTCTGTTACCATTGCTATACTGTGGGTCAGGAAAATGTGAGAAGAGAAGATATGCCAGTGCCAGTATCTTCTCTAGCCTGGCTCTACCTGTGATCGGGGTCCAAGTTGATGGCAGAACTGTTACTGTGCTTGTTGATACTGGTTGTTACACATACAGACCCTCTCATCCATGTGGATAATGCCATTGTGTCTAAAACACTTTCTGACATCATCTTCCCTGCTTTGCATTGATTAGGCCACCAATGCCACCACAAGATCCTTCATCTCCTTGTCTCTCATAATCTATTGACCAACTGCTTGCTTGAGCAAGCAGCTGGTCAACAGATATCATGTCCATCGTAGGAGAACACACATTCCATACCACATCCTAAATGAATCTACTAATAGAAAAAAATGATCATGCTTTCTCTAACAAGATCAATTTATTGATGATGAAGTGGGCTACATTGATGACATAAATATTCATAGTTCGGATAAGTGACCGTGAAGAGAAAATCAACATCCTCTACCAATTATTCCAAGAAATAGGACACAAACCTTTCCAAAACAGAAACTATGTTCTGCAATTGAAATGAAAGCAGTAATGGCAAACACTCTGCATTCATCATAAAAATTCATGATGTGGAATTAGTAAATACTAAACACTTCAAATACTTCCGTGTATGGGTCAGTTATAACAAATTA